AAGTTAATTCAAAGAATAAAGGGATTAAGTTTCCAAGAGGTTAATTAGCAAAGAATAACTATGTAGGATAACTAATTTTTGCTTGACATGAGGGAAAAAAACGTGTCTTTATAATGTTAATTTGTTTTTTTTTTGTTTGTTCCTGGAATATCCACCGCCGATAGCAGTAACTAATATTTTCGCTACGTTGGAGGCACCTCAAATGGTAGAATAGCTAGCCCCAAGATTTAATAATATTAATTTGTTTGTGTACTGATCATTCAATAACAATAAAAATCAAGACAAGTTCCGAAACAATTAGTCTATACAAAGAAGAAACACATTAAATAAACAAAAAAAAAAAAATTGGCTCAAAATGTCAAAGAGAATTAATGAATGAGAAAGAAAGAAAAAAACCATACTCGATCTCATATTCTAGCATGTGACGTGTTATTGCGAATTGTAGAAGAAGAAAAAATTGAGTCTCACACAAGAATTAGTACGAATTAATTTAGTAAAACTAGTTTATAATTAAGTTAGAAAGTTTATAAACTATAAACTAATAGTTGAAAAATTGTGAAAGCTTATAAACTAATTCTTGAATTGAAAGTATTTTTTTATTTTAATAATTTTGTGATTGGTATGAAATATTTACTGATTTTATTGATGATTAATATCTCTTGAAAAATCTAACTAACTACATTTAGCAGTGTCTTATCTATTAACAATATTTTTTTCATATATAAAATTCAAACCCTATACCTTAAAGAGATCAAGTTTAGTATCATTCAAACCAATAACAACTAAATTGAAAGGATTTGATAAAAATAAGTTGTTGAAAGTAAAATAACATAACATAAAACAATTTTTATAATGAGAATGAGAAAATGAAATAGGTAAAAGGGTTTCTTAATTAAATAACAAGAGCAAATAGGAATTTTAAGTAAATTAATGGGAATAATAAGAAAAAAAATGTAAAAACTTAATTATCATCTATAAATTATTTTAGTTAGTTTAAGAAAATAAATTATAACATCTTTTTTTTTTGTAAAGAAATAAATTATAACATCTAGATAGCAAACAAATTTATTTTGATTAAAATAAATTTTAATCACAAGAATTTATATATTCATCAAATATCTTATCAAACTTATATCTTTTTCATGATGCGATAGTTGAGCCATTTTCTAAAAGCTGAACTAATTTTTTTATTATATTTTTAATGACCACAAGTTGCACTGATTTAAAAGTCATAAACCATATTTTCTGTTAAACAAAGAGTTTTTCTGTCGGTAGCAACTGTTTGTTTTTTTTTCAAACAAAGTTGTGAGAAATTTCTTTTTGTTTTTTTCAAACAGAGTTGTAAGAAATTTGGGCCGAAACAATGACCCATGCCAACTTTGCTTACTTCCCTACGTTCAGACATGCATTAATTACACATTTGAACAGGAAAATTACACTCAATAAAGTTAAATTAATTAATTAAACTGACACGGCTGTTGTTGTTCTTTCTCTAGAAGATGAAAATTTAGTGGAAATTTTGTTATAAACATATAACATTTTTTATATATCCCTCGTTAGCACAAAGCACCATATTATATGAAAAATAAATAAGTAATATGATGGTGATTATTAGTATTAGAACTTGTAATAACAACTTGATACTTTAGGTTTATCATCCATTTATTCTCCTACTGTTTTATTGTTCCACTCAAATTTAAGTATTTAACAAGAGTTGTGACTTTTCTTTTACGCTTCGGTTAAATAGTATTATTTTTTTCAAAAAAAAAAGTTGAATAGTACACTAAAAAGGATCACAAAATATATTTTAGTCTCTTTTTTGACCATTGAGATAGTTGATAATAACACTTTAGTCTCAATCGCCTTGGTGACTAAAATAGTCAAAACATTAATGTTATATAATTTATTGTGTGTCGAAATTATTTATGATGAGTTCACTCTTATGCACATACTTTGTTTTGAACAGTTTTAGTGTTCTTGATTATTGAGCAAGCTGAGATGCCCAACACTATTGAACTGCAAAGACTACAAATGACTCAACTAATAAAGGGAGTAAGCTAGGTTAAGAGGTTAATTCATCATTAGCAACTATATTACCTAATTGGTAATGGAGAAACAAAGTCCACTAAGTTTAAGCGTCCATTATGATCAATATAAATAATTACACAAATTGAGATGAAACTATTGATCATTTATTATTCATTCAAATATTTGAGTTCATCTTAACTTGAGTATCGGAATATATTTTACAAGTATCCATTATGCGGCTAGCAAGGAGTTCAGAGTTCGACAATTGAGAATTACTAGTATATCGTCAAACAGATACAATTTAATAATTCAATTTTCAACCAATTATCTTAGAGTACTATTATTTTTTATTTAATTATTGATAATTTCATTAATATTATTATTAGAATGTTATTTCTGAGAATATTTAAAAATGTGTTTGATGAGATTTAAACATTGTTAAGAATGTTTTAAAAAGTTAAAATAATTAAAATAAAAAAAGTTAAATAAATGGGTTAAAATATACTTTCTCATATTCTTATGAGAATAAAACTTCCTCAACCTTTATTATGGAAATCAAAAATAAAGTAAATTATGTTGTAATTAAGTTTTTTTTAGAATAAATTATACTCTTTTTTTTTTTAACTTTAAACATTCTACAAAAGAAAAAATTAATCCTCAAAACAAACAACTCTTGATTCATGGAGGGAGTAGTTGTTTATAAAAATAAAAATAAAAGTATTGAATTTATCTCGTCATCGATAGCTTCTTAATCTCGATTAAATTGAACTTTTGAATGTTGATACAGAAAAATCCTCTATCCAAAATAATTCAACATTGTAAATGAAAAAAAAAAGAGAAATCTGAACCACAGTACTTTTCAACTTTAATGATTTCACGCATTTGAAAAAAGAACTACGTTTAAAAGGTTAAATTTTCGTGTCGTGATCCTCGCCTTTCGTAAGCCTAGAAGGAAATTTAATATTATTGATAGAAAGGAAATCATAATAACATTATTTTTTTAATATAATTTATTGGTCTAATACATGAATCAGTTCCTTTTTTAAAATTAATTAGATCGTTAAACTAAAAAAACGTAATTAAATCTTTTATTTTATTATATTTTTATAATTTAGTTTCCAAATTTAAAAGTTTATATACAATTTATGAAATTTTAAACTTACTTTTTATATTTTCATAATTGAATAGTTACATCACATAATTGTTTCATGTCATTATTTATGTGTATTAGTTTTTAATTCCTGCCTATTAAAACATATGTAATCTTTATAATCATTATTTTTTCAAGCTCTTAATTCTTAATCTCTGAATTAGGAATTGGAACAGTGAAATGAAAGGTGAATGGCAACGAATAGAGAAGAGTAAGAAGAATGAGATGATGAAAAGAATAGAAATGAAATCAATGAAGAAGATGAAAAAGGTAGAGAGTGTTTGCTAACCGTGAAGTGAAAGGAGAAGATAAGATAAACGAAGAAGGTTGCACGAATGAAAAAAATCCTAAATTAATTTTTATTTTGAAAAAAAATTTCACATCAGTACCAAAATCAGAAGATTGACAGAACTTATGCTTAAGGACTAAATTGCAAAATTATTATATATATATATATATATATATATATATATATATATATATATAAAATAAAAACACATATATTTTTTTATT